GCCTCCTGTGCTCAGCACTCCTGAAGACCAAAGTGTTGCAAGCTTCAAAGGTGAGAAGTATGAAATCCAAGTAAGGCTGAAGATTGTCAAGGGTTCAACAAGCTCAACTACATCCTGGGCTCAAGTGCTGGGTGGGAAGTCACTCAGGCCTCCTGTGACCCTCCAGCAGTCGTTCCCACACTCACTGCTGGGTGCAAAAGAGCTTCAGGACTCTGTGGAGAGACTCTTCATGTCATCTTGAGCCACTTGGAGAAAAATATCCCATGGGAGGAAGGATGTGGCTTCCTGACACACAAGTGTTCTTGACCTGCAGAGTGGTTTGGTTTATGCTAATTTCTCAGCACTTCTGAGTATTATATTCCTAAGCAGGTTCTGGCTGTGCCCACAGAGTCACAAAATCAGTGAGGTTGGAAGGGACCACAATGGGTCCTTGGTCCCACCTCCTGCTCCAGCAGGGCCAGCCCAGAGCACATGGCTCAGGGTTGTGTCCAGAGGGGTCTGGAACACCTCAGTGAGGAGAATCCACCACCTCTCTGGGCAATCTGTTCAGTGCTCAGGGACTGCACAGCAAAGAAGTTCTTCCTGTGTTCAGGTAGAACTTCCTGGGCATCAGTTTCTGCTGTTCCCTCTTGTTTTATTGGTTCCCCCACTGAGCAGAGTCTGATCCTCCTCTTGGCACCTCCTGTTGATGGACTTGAGTCCGTTACTGAGGTCCCCCTTGGTCATCCCAAGGCTGAAGAGGCAGCAGATCCTGCTCCATCCATGGGACAGGATACATTTGGTGTGGTCCATCTCCTCCAGTCAGAGCTCCCAGAGCAAACTCTGCTGCTGTCAAGAGGCTCCAAACATGACTCAGGGTTCAGCTCTGCTGAGCTCATGTTTCAGAGCTCATCGAACTGCTGGAATCTCCCTCGGGAAATGAGGCCATGCCTCAGTCCTGGCACTTTGGTTCTACTACCCAGTAGAATGGAACAGGTGCTCAGATGACTTGCCCCATTTGCTTGGTGCTGCCAGCACCAAGTTCCAAGCAGCCTCATCCATGACTACCCCAATTCTGATGCTCAGCAACACTCACTTCTTTATCCAATTGAAGGGAAGTATATCAATCTCTGCTGAAATACATGTTTCTCAGGTCTGAACTAAAACCCAACACGCCTTTTCGTGGGGGAAATAATACTGAAGGAAATCTGAGGTGGTTTAATGTTGCAGAGGTTTGTTCTGCTCAGATTGGACACAGTTTTCCTTCCTTTGTTCAAGTTTGGTGTGTTTTACATTTATGGCATCAGTCAGAGCAGTTCTGAGGTTTATATGCTGAGCTTGAGCTTTCCTTCCTCAAAAACATTCCCAGCATTGCTCCCAAGAAATAGGTTTGGCCCATAAATTGCAGAGAGCTCTGGAGTCTCTTCAGAGCTTCAGCACCACAGAATATCTGCTCTCTCCTCTCTCATCTTTTATTTATATCCAAGGCCATGGGATTTCTTTTCCTGCACTCTGGGAGAAGGTTTAATCCAACACATAGATGGAATTTTCAATGCATCCCAAGGCTAATTATCCATCAGTGCTATTGGTGATGCTGCTGCCTCTGTAACTCCTCAGCTGGTTCTTCAAGCCCAAGGAGGGAGGTCAGGAACTCCTCTGGGCAGGCAGTGCTGCCTTCAGCTCCTCACAGACCCTTCTCTCTGGTGCTCTGTGTCCTGCCAAGTCATCCAAGGCACTGGAGCTTCTAATGCATCAATTTGTGCTGTAGCTCTCCGTTAGCACAGGATTTCTGCTGTGATTTGTCGTTGTCACAGCTCCAGCAACAGCAGCCACTGTTCGTCTGTCCCCATCCCTGTAACTATTGCAGCTTCCAGACACGGCTGGTAGTGATTACAGCCTGTAGTTTGCAGTGTTAAATGAGCCTTCAGCTCCCAGCACGATGCCCCTTGGGTTATTCTCTTTGGCACGTGGAATTTTGAAAGAGGCTGCTTTCCTTGGAGCTCTGTGACAGAGCTTCTGTGCCCCAACACTCCTGGAGAACCCAGGAGTTGTTTTCATCTGTGTTTTTAAGCCCGAGGTGAACCCAGTTTGTGAGAATGGACTTTAGTCTCATCTCTGTCAGCCCTGAGGAAACACTCTGGTAGAGGAATAAAAGGACACTGAGATCCCTCTCCATCATCCCAGAAGAACTGGGTCTGTCTCCCTCTATGGAAAGGATCACCTGACCATGGCAGGTCCCCAAGGGGCAGATCAGCCTGAGGACTGTCACCCCAGAACAACGGGGGATTTTTTCCCCCAGTGAATCCTGCCGTGCTGAGATTGCTCATCTCTTCCCTTTGCCTGTGGCAGGGGCACACGCTCTGCTGAGAGGACAGGGAGGTTCTGCAGAAGGTGTGTGAAAAAAGAGCCCAAACCCTTTCAGTTTTGCAGTTCCTACAGTCAGGTTTACTTAGTAGCTGCCTGTAAGGACCAGGAGATTTCAAACCCAATACTCAGTGCTGTTACAGACATATTCAAACTGGGGGGAAACCCCAAAACAACAAGCAACAAACCTCCAAATCAAAATCCAGCAAATATATTTGCAGCATATCCCAGCTGTAATCTAGTGATGGAGCCAAAGGTCCTTGCTTACATCTCTCAGCTTATGGTAACTTTCCATGAGTCTCTGCCTTACAGTCCCTGCGTCTCCTTGAGTCTTTTCCTTACACTCTCTGCCTTTCCCGGTGTCTCTGCCTTCCAGCTTTGGAGATTTGCCCTTAAAGAAGGATTCATGGATTATCCAGTGTTCAAGGAGACCTCCAGGGGCAGATGCCACCCAGGGAACACAGCCCTGCTGGGGTGACACCCAACCTGAATCCATCACTCTCTGGAGGTTTGCTTGGGGCATAGGGAGGAGATCAGCCCAGCAGGAGGGGAAAGGCAAGTGCAGCATTGCTGGCAGTGAGGAGAGGTCTGGGGGAGGCAGAGGGAGGTGTGAGCTCACACTCGCTGCTCAGCCCGTGGCATCTCATCTCCCCCGAGCTCTGGAATGCAGGAGGCTCCAAAGGGCTCTGCAAAGCTATCGCACTCCACTCCTTCCTCGGTCAGGCTGGAGATCAGTTGAGAGACTGAACAAATGAAGGAGCTGAAACATCCTGAGCTGGGGATGTGTTTTCTGAATTATTCATCACCATCTTCATTCTCCTGTGGGTCTTCCTGCAGTTGGAGCTTCAGGAGGATTGTGGATTCTCCCTCTTTTACATTATCTCATTTAATGCATTGCAGAAGCTTTCTCATCTTCTCCTTCATGTTCCCAAACCTCACCAGAAATCACAGCACTTGACAGGAGATTTAGAGGAAAATGCCCTCAATACTTCTCATTTTTGGTAAAAGAAATGTTTCATTAATACATATCTATGCATACAAATGCCATGAAAACTTCCCTTCTGAGCCTCTGACGTGGTTCTCAGCAGTTTCCCCACACTCTTTGGGGCTGGTGCAGATGCTGAGTGGGGCAGCAGCTCTGGGGCTGCTTCACACACCCCTGGGAAGAGCAGAGGGAAGAGCCTGGACTGGCCCCAGTCGTTATGCACCAGCTGAGCAGCCAAACCAGCTCCTCACCTGCTGTGTCTGCACATCACACACCCCTTGTCAGCCCAGCCAGGGGGGCAGAACATCACAGGGACATCTGTTTCTGTGTCTTCCCGAAGAAAAGAGAGCTGCTACTTTGAATGCCAAGAGGATGTAGAGCAGCAGTGCCACCTCCTGAGTTAGCAGCTTTGCAACTTGCCATTTAAGCTTTCCACAGCACTGTGAACAAAGAGACAACTCTCCCCCTCCTTGTCCTTCCACGTTGTGTGCATGTGCTTCCCTTGGCACAGCCTGGAAATGCAGGATTTTGTGCTGCTCTCTGCAGAGAGGTGAGAGGAAAGACCTTCCTTGCCTGCAGCCAGCACACTTGGCTGTGTCAGCAGAGGTCACCCCACCAGCAGTGAGGGGCTGTGTGACTCCTCCAACCCACCCAAGATACCTCCAGGCTCCCTGGCAGCCAAACACACCCAGGAGAAAAACATTTCCTTCCCCAAACCTGGTGTTGCTGGGGCACACAGCCCATTAAGCAATGGCTAGTGGCTGAAACACCTGCCTGAACTCGACTGCTGCCTGCTGTGCTGAAAGGTTTCCAGCTGGCACTGCCCCAGCCATGGTTTTTTTCTTCTCCATGGGCTGAGCAGCTCAAAACCTGCAGCAGCGACAGTCTCTGAATGGCAAAGTGAGGGAGGTGAACCCTGTGTGCACAGGGAAGCTGTTCTCCTGCCAAAGGTTTGTGGAGCTCACAGAGGCTGAGGGTGGAGAGCTCCATCCCACGTGAGACGTGAGAACCTCTTGGCTTGAGGTCTCCCACAGCCAGGTCACTCCTTGTAGAGAGGTAACTCTGGGCTGGGACTGATGACAGTGATTAGAAACTGTCTTAGTCCTCAGGCAGGGAAATGATGTTCCAGAAACAAAACCTCTGCCTTTTCTGTGTGCATCTTGTATCTCTGTATCCATCTTATATCTGTGTTCATCTTATATCTCTATGTCCATCTTATGTCTCTGTGTCCATCTTATATCTCTGTATCCATCTTATAGCCATCTCATCTGTACCAGACAAGATGTGTGTGATCAGCCAAGCACACTGGAATATACTTATTAGCCTCTCTTGACAGAGTCCCAGTGTAACTACTTCATCAATTTATCCCTGACTAGAGTCTGTTTATCAAGCCTGGTATCATCCCCTTTTGAGTACTGGCTCATGCTGCCCCTCCCTCCATCCTCTGGCACCTCTCCAGCTTTCCCAAGAGTGTTAGGAACAAAAAGGAATGAAACAGGGAGCCCTGATGATTAAATTTCCACATCTGTAGTTCCAGCATTCCTCATTCCATCCAAGCATGACATCAAAACTTAAGGCTTAACAATAACACAACTCATTCACTCACAGGTTTTAACAAACAGATTCATGAAAACAAACAAACCAACCCAAACAAATCAGAGCAGTAACAGAACTAATACACATAAACCTTCACTTTATGGACGTCTTTGTCTTCACATTCCCTTTGCTTGTTGTAATAATAGAAGGTGTTGTCCCTTCTCTGAAGCTTCTTAACGAATCCAGTTTCTGGCCAACACTCCACCTGCAAAGGGAATCCAAGGGATACTCATTCACCTCTCACTAGGTGATGTGTATGACAAGGAATACAGAGGATATTTCCACAGGAAAACCTCCTTTGGATCTAAAGATCACCTTGCTATTCATGTGCTGAGCTATAAAAAAACCCATTAAGAACAGAAGGTCTGAAATCAGTTTTCATGGTTAGGATGAAGAATTATGTGGTCATAATTCTATGCCATTCTAATTCCTGTCACCTAATCCATAAGAAGAGTCTAGAAATAAAGATTTAAGGGTATTTGATAGACCAACTGAAGTCAAAGCTTTTAAAATACCTCCTGTAGGAACAGGACATTGATGTGGTTCAGATAGCTGAGAGGCTCAAAGATTCCACTCTTGTAAGACTGACAGACACTTACAGGTTTCTCCAGCTCCTTCTGACCAGGAAAAATGTGCTTTCCATTAGCAGTTTCATGCCAATAAAGTGAGCTGGATGTGTCACAGTCCCAAAGCAGCAGGATCAGCCCTGCATGGAGCCAGGACCACCCTGGTGCTCTTCAGGGTGAGGCTTTAAGCCAAAAGTTGGAGCACTCAGATGTTCAACAGCTTTTATGGCTTTAGCAGCTCACTGCAGCTTCACCATCTCCGACTGCTCCTGACCAAACTGAGCCTTAAGAACAAGGGAATAAGGACCTCATCTCTCTCCCAGGCAGAGCTGACAACAGCATTCTCTAACTGGAGAGCCCCAGAAGTGGTTTTATCCCTTACCTGGTGACTACAGGCACACAGAGCTGTTCTGTTTGCATTGTCTGTCTAACACAACAGCTTTACTGTTCATCTGACTGCATCCTCAGCAACTTTGGGATGTGTAAACTGAAGGCCTGGGAAGGCTGGACCAGAAGGCTCATTTCACAGAGTCAGAGGTGTGCCCTGACTTTCATCAGGGTTTAATTGCCAGTGGTTGTGCCCTGCCATAAACCCTAACCACACAGATCCCACCACAGGATTTCCTTCCACACTTACTGGGATTCACACCACAGCCTTTGCAGTGGGACCTGAGCCCACAGCAGAGGAACAAACTCCATCTGATGATGCACATCAGTGTGTTGCTGTGTGGTGAGTTCACTGGTTGAGGAGTGACTTCCTTAGCAACATTCTACTCTTTTTTATGGGCATAGGAGGTTAAGATAATTTAAGAGTGGATTTTTAATGCTACAATTGCTGCTTTGGCAGATAAATTAGAGAGCTCTAATGAACATGATGTGTTGTTTGCTACATTAACGTCTGTGTTGCTATTTTGAACCTCAAGTAGCCACTGAATATATGACCATTAGTCAACAGCTCATTTGATCATAGAACCATCAAGGTTGGAGGAGATCTCTAAGGTCATCCAGTCCAACCATGAACCTGTCACTGCTGGAACCCCCAAACCCTAACCCAGATCCTCCAGTGCCACATCAGACACCTCTGAAACACCTCCAGGGATGGTGACTGCACCACCTCCCTGGGCAATATCCCAGTGCTGAACACCACAACAGGGAAAACATTTCTCCTCACACCCAATCTGACTCTGCCCTGGCTCAGCTCAAGGCCATTCCCTCTCTCCTCTCCCTCAGCCCTGGCAGGACACACATCCCACACCTCTCTCCAGCCCTGGCAGGAGTTGCAGAGAGCCAGGAGGTCACCCCTGAGCCTCTTCTCCAGGCTGACCAACCCAACTCCCTCAGCCCTTGCCCATGTGCTCTGCCCTTTGCTGCCCTCGTTGCCCTTGGCTGGACTCGCTCAGTGCCTCAATGGCCTTTGGGCAGTGAGTGCCCAAAGCTGAAGACAAATTTTGATCCAGTCATTTCACATGAGGCAGAAGTTTGAAGTAATGACCCTTGCAGAGCTCTAAATCTTACCACATCCACTTGTTTCACTTGCTTATATTCCACCTCATCTCTGTATCCAGCTTGCTGAAATCTGTACAGGTTCTCCACATCATCTGACCAGATTTTGGCATGATGGATAGACTTTGGCATGATGTCAGCTTCAGCCATGGCTCCAGAGCCTTCAGGCTTTTCCCTGAAATTATTTGAAATTACACAGAAGAGATGGAAACAAATGGTTTTGTTGGGGACATACAAAAATGGGAAGTAGGTTAATGGAAAGCATGGAAAACACCCAGACATGGGTGTCCCATACAGCAGGATAGGCACAGCTCCCTGCTCTACATCTTTGTGTGACCTTTGAGAAATCTACCTCAACATCATCCTATTTCTCCTTTGCTCTTTGGTAGCCATGACAGAATTTTCCATGCCCTGTAAAGGCTCAGCAGTGTTTGAGGAGTTGTCAGTTCTTACTGACTCGAGACAGTCAAGATGATTAGCAATAACTTTGGACCTTAATAAATGCTAAACTATAATGAATTTGGGAGAGGGAAATTTAGGTTAGATCTCAGGCAGAAGTTTTCCCTGTTCTGGTGGTGAGACCCTGTCCCAGGGTGCCCAGGGAGGCTGTGGCTGCCCCAACCCTGGCAGTGTTCACAGCCAGGTTGGATGAGCCTTGAGCAACCTGCTCTGGTGAGAGGTGTCCCTGCCCAGGGCAGGGGTTGGGGCTGGATCATCTCTAAGCTCCATTCCAACCCCTAAAATCCTTTGACTCTATGATTTTCAGCGCCTTAACTTACACGTTACTAGTGTTAAGTTCTTCTGGACAGGATGTGCTGGGTTCATCTAAGGAATGTGCTCCTTCCAGGCATCTGGGCAGGTCAGGTACTTGCTGAGTCATCATGAGGTCAGAGTGCCTTCCACAGGCTTTCCTGCTCAAAAAAACCAGGTATAAAGCTCCCATAGTCCCAACTGGGTGACTTCAAGGAATGAAAGCAGCATCGTGATGTGATACTCTTTGTTTCCTGCAGTGTCTGAGCTCCAGGCACAGAGCTGCTTTAGCAGAGCAGGACAAAGCTGTACTCCAGCCAGGAACTCAGGGAACAGCCAAAGCCAACAGACAGATAAAGGCAAATAAATAAGATAAGAGAATGGTAAGAAAACATCGTTTAGCATTAACACTTTTCATTTCAAGGGAGTCCTTGAGCAGTGAAATGGACTTTGCCAAGGTGACAATGTTTGTCTAGTGTAAAGAGTGGTGTTTCTGTCAGTGATATTCCATACTCCTCTGCTTTTGGCTCTGTTTTTAGTGCCAATCATAACACAGCTCCTGTGGAATCCTCACCAGCCTGAGCTTGCACGTGGTGGCTCCCCAGGGAGTTACACAAGCTGTAAGGGCTGGTGGGAGGAGAGTGTGTGCTCAAGGACCGTGATCAGTGCCACAAGGGATTACAGGAAGGGGAGGAAGTGATAAACCAGGAACATATGGAGACACAAACCTGAGCAGGACGTGCTGAGGGAGGTGGGGATGGGAACCAAACCTGGGCAGTCACACACGGACTGATGGGGCAAAGTGAGAGTGGGGAGTGTGAGAGTGTTTATTCCAGCGAGGCTGTCTGAGCAGGGATCTTGTCCCTTGGGAAGTGAAGGGGAAAAGGGGAGGACAGAAACAAACCAGGCAGAGATAAGGACTTGACAAAACAAAGACAATGTGACAAGAAACAAACCTCACCACTTGCACTAATGGGCTAAAAAGAGCCTACAGATATCACATCCAGCAAGATCAACCTGGACCTTGCAGCTGCCATTGATAAGAGTGTGAACCAAGGGGACCCTCACTGGGAGGGGTGTGGGGATCCCTGGAGCTGTACAGACCTGGGATGGATGTGCAGGGGAAGGGGAGCAGGGAGGAGCAAAGATGGGAATAGCCAGAGAGGAGTATAAAAGCAGTCAGTGAGTAGCTGTGCCTGGCTGAGCCCTGAGCCCGAGCAGCACAGACTGTCATACCTCAGTGCTTCTTCTTCAACCTTAGCTATCTCCCTGCACAATCTCACTCTGTATCACATCTGTGTGTGCTGCAAGGATGAAGTGCCAGGGCCTGGTGAGCTCTGTGTGTGAGTGAGCGGTGTGTGTGTGAGTGAGCACTGGCACCAGCTCCTGCTGAGCTGTGTGTGTGTGAGTGAGCACTGGCACCAGCTCCTGCTGAGCTCTGTGTGTGAGTGAGCACTGGAACCACCTCCTGGAGTCAGACTGGAGCTGTGGGCACCCCTGGCCTGTGATATCAGCTGCTGGAGCAGCTGGGATCTTTAATTTCCAGCCACTGGAGCAGGAACAGGCTGTGTCCTGAAAAATCTGCTACTGGAGTTGGGATGTCATGAGTGAGGGGCTCTGTGCCAGCAGCTGGAGCAGGACTGTGGGTCACAGCCTGTGTGCCCTCTTGTCCTGCTGCTGGT